CTCTCTCCTGTGTCGTCTGCTNTCNCAAGCCTGCCTTGGCTTGGCCTGGCCTTCGGAGCGGCGGCAGGCAAGGCTCGCGGTGAAAACCACGTTCGCGCGCAGGGCCACCTACCGAATCAACCCTCAGCCGGCCAGCCAGCCAGCCCGCCCGCCAGCCTGCTGCTGGCCGCCCGTCGACCCATCCGCACTTTTGTGGCCTGCTCGCACCCTGCCTGCCTGCCTGCCTGCCTGCCTGCCAGCCAGCCAGGCCAGCCAGCCTCGCCCAGCCCTCGCCCCGCCGCCTCGCCATCCACGACGAGCAGAGAGCCGGCCGCGCCGTCCTCTCCACACTCATCCCCCCTCTCGCAACCCTCGCAACGCTGCTCGTCGTCTTCCGAAAAAGAAGACCCCTCCCAAGCAGGCGGCACACAACCAACCAACCGACAAACCAGCCAGCCAGCCGACACGGCATCCATTCATCCTCGCTGCTGCTGGCCCTAGCCTCTCGGCCCTCGTCGTCGCCTCTCCGCCCTTCGCGACGCCGCTCCGGCTTCCGCATCCACGTTCGGCTCTCCTCGACTCTGGCGTCGTCTGGCCCGCGTCGATATTCCCTTGCTCCCGTCGACACCGGCACCCACGCACACACCGCCAGCAGCATCCCCCGGCGCCACCGCCTCGACGCGCCTCACCCACCCACCCTCACAACACACCCTGCCCCTTTCCTCGACTTTGCCTTCGCAGGGTCTCGCCACCGCGCACCACCGGGCCATCGCAGCGATCGATTCACTTCGCCGACGTCCGTCGCGCGGCGCGTCGCACCCTTCGACCACTCGCCTCGGCCACATTCGACTCGGTGCTGGTCACTCCGCCACGATCCATCACTCTCGCTGCGATCGCCGCCCCGCGCCGCTCCCGGTCCAGTCTGCCGCCACCGCAGCTGTTGCCGCCAACGAGCGCGTCTCCGCCGTCGTTTCTTTGGCAGCTCGCCTCGTCCATATTGCAGGTCGCCTCGCCGACTGCCTGTCACTGCACAGCCCATCGACGCGAGGATCTCGCACTTCGAGCGACACACTTGCCCCCGTATCCTTCTCGAGCCGGCCAGGTTTCGCCGACGCGTGCATAGGCATAGTCCTCCGCGAGCCATCCCTCAGCAGCCCATAGCATCCTTGCATCGCCTCTTGCCATGTCATCCGCCATCGCAAACGGCGCTTCGGCCGGCAACGGGGCGGCCAATCAAAGCGGTCAGCCCCAGCAGGGCATGCCCGGCTTCAGCCTCCAGGCCCAGCAGATGTTGGCTGGCATGACAAAGGAGAGGCTCCATGGCATGATTGGGCGGATGCAGCAGCTCAAGGCGAGTGGCGTCAATGAGTCCAACAGCCAGGAATACGCCGCCCTCGTCAACACGCTCAAGATGTTCCAGCAGTTCCAGGCCATGCGGCAGCAGCAGACTGCAGCCATGCAGGGTGAGTCGTCCCACCCTTTTCCTCGAGAGTGGTTGTTCGGCGGTGTCGCTGACCACCACATGTTGCGCTTCGACGCTCCTTTTGACCGCCTTCCGTCTTCTAGCGCGAGCATCGGGCGTGACGCAGCCAGGCGCACCGGCGATATCGTCGTCGGCATCTTCGTCCCTACCGCCGCCGAGCTCGGCAACGGCCGCCACCGTCCCTGCCGCGACGTCCACGGCACCTGCCGCTTCAGCCGGTGCACCGTCCACGTCGGACGGCGCCGCTGCTCCACCGGCCGAGCAACCCAACGGCGCGAGCGCCAAGGCATCGGAGGGGGACGGAGACATCTCGCGATCCGTCAGCCCTGCCTCCTTCACCTCGGACCAGCTCAGCGCTCTGCGGACGCAGATTATCGCCTTCAAGTTGATCTCACGGAACCAGCCGCTGCCGCCCAACCTGCAGGAGGCCATCCTCGCCGTCGACAAAGGTGTTGACCCGGCTGCAAAGGTGGCCGCCGCTGCCGCCGCCTCACACGAAGCCGCGGAAGTCATCAAGTCGGCCGACGGGTCAAAGGAGGTCAAGCCGGAGACGGATACGACGGCGGCGGATGGAACAAGTGCGACTGAGAGAGCAGCAGAATCGGTCGAGGAGATTGTCCGTCCGCCGAGTCCGCAGAATGACCCTTCGAGCGCGGTCTACCCATACAACGCCTACCTGCACCCTTTCACCTACATTTCGCGGCCCCTGCGCGAGGATCAGGACTTTCTTGCGACGCGGCAGCAGAGGCTTCTCATCCCGAGCCTCATGCCGAGTGGTCTGGAGCCCAAGCTGCTCCTCGAGGAGCGCGACCGGTTCACGCAGGCGCGCATCCAGCAGAGGATCCGGGAGCTCGAGTCGCTGCCGGCGGACCTGTCGCAGCGCCCCACTATGGCTTCGCTGAAGGGCAAGCAGAACGAGGCAACCCTGCAGGGCAAGCTGCTCGGCACGGGTCTCGATGGCGACAATGCCAAGATCAAGGCGCTGATCGAGCTCAAGTCGCTGCACCTGCTCGAGAAGCAAAAGGCGATGCGGGAGCAGGTCGTCCGGGGCCTCAACCTGGCCACCACGCTGGGCCTCGACCGGGTTGCCTTCCGCCGCGTCAAGAAGCAGACGCTGAGAGATGCCCGCATGACGGAGCAGCTCGAGCGGAAGCAGAGGGTCGACCGCGAGAGGCGGGCGCGGCAGAAACACACCGACTACCTCTCGACGATCTGCAACCACGGCCGCGACCTTGTGTCTGCGCACGCCAAGGTTAGCGACCAGGCAAAGCGACTCGGGCGGCAGATGCTCAAGTTCCACGCCGACACCGAGCGCGAGGAGCAGAAGAGGATCGAGCGGATCGCAAAGGAGCGTCTCAACGCGCTCAAGGCCGACGACGAGGAGGCCTACCTCAAGCTCATCGACACGGCCAAAGACACGCGTATTACCCATCTCCTGCGCCAGACGGACGGCTACCTCGACAGCCTCGCCCAGGCCGTCCAGGCGCAACAGAACGACGATGTCCACGCCGAGGCGATCGCGGCCGAGCGTGCCGGCCTACCTCCGCCCATCAGCGACCCGAGCGCCAGCGCCAACCAGGAGGTGGGCGTCGCCGTCGATGAGACCATGTTCGGCGCCAGCCGGCAGGACGACCCCAGCGAGGACAACGGCAAGGTCGACTACTACTCGGTCGCGCACCGGATCACCGAGCGCATCACCGAGCAGCCGACGATCCTGGTGGGCGGCAAGCTCAAGGAGTACCAGATCAAGGGCCTCCAGTGGATGGTGTCGCTCTACAACAACCGCCTCAACGGCATCCTGGCCGACGAGATGGGTCTCGGCAAGACGATCCAGACCATCTCGCTCATCACCTTCCTCATCGAGCACAAGAAGCAGAACGGCCCGTACCTCGTCATTGTGCCGCTGTCGACACTCACCAACTGGATCAACGAGTTTGGCAAGTGGGCCCCCGCCGTGTCGACGCTCATCTACAAGGGCACGCCCAACGTCCGCAAGCAGCTGCAGGGCCGGCTGCGCGCGGGCAACTTCCAGGTGCTCCTGACGACGTACGAGTACATCATCAAGGACAAGAACCTGCTCGGCAAGATCAAATGGGTGCACATGATCATCGACGAGGGCCACCGCATGAAGAACACCCAGTCCAAGCTGACGCTGACCCTCACCCAGAACTACGTCAGCCGGTACCGCCTGCTGCTGACGGGCACGCCGCTGCAAAACAACCTGCCGGAGCTGTGGGCGCTGCTCAACTTTGTGCTGCCGAGGATCTTCAACTCGGTCAAGAGCTTCGACGAGTGGTTCAACACGCCCTTTGCCAACACCGGAGGCGCCGAGGGCGGCATGCAGCTCAACGAGGAGGAGGCGCTACTTATCATCAAGCGTCTCCACAAGGTGCTGCGTCCCTTCCTGCTGCGTCGCCTCAAGAAGGACGTCGAGTCGGAGCTGCCGGACAAGGTGGAAAAGGTCATCAAGTGCAAGATGAGCTCGCTCCAGCACAAGCTCTATCAGCAGATGAAGAAGCACAAGATGATCCTCTCGGGCGAAGACGCCGGCGTGGCGGGCAAGAAGGCCAAGCCGCAGGGCATCCGCGGCCTCCAGAACGCCATCATGCAGCTGCGCAAGATCTGCAACCACCCATACGTCTTCGAACAGGTCGAGCTGGCCATCAACCCGACAAAGGAGAACGGGCCGGACCTCTACCGTGTCGCGGGCAAGTTTGAGCTGCTCGACCGCCTCCTGCCCAAGCTCTTCGCCACCAAGCACCGCGTCCTCATCTTCTTCCAGATGACGGCCATCATGGACATCATGGAGGACTTCCTGCGGTACCGCGGCTTCAAGTACCTCCGCCTCGACGGATCCACCAAGCCCGATGACCGCTCCGAGCTGCTGCGCCTCTTCAACGCGCCCAACTCCGAGTACTTTGTCTTTATCCTCTCGACGCGCGCCGGTGGTCTTGGCCTCAACCTCCAGACCGCCGACACCGTCATCATCTACGACTCGGACTGGAACCCGCACCAGGACCTGCAGGCGCAGGACCGTGCCCACCGTATCGGACAGAAGATGGAGGTCCGCATCCTGCGGCTCGTCACCGAGAAGTCGGTCGAGGAGACGATCCTGGCGAGGGCGCAGTACAAGCTCGAGATCGACGGCAAAGTCATCCAGGCCGGCAAGTTCGACAACCAGGCCACCGCCGACGAGCGAGAGGTGCTGCTGCGAGCGATGCTCGAGGCCGACAACGACGACGAGGACGAAGAGGCGGGCGAGCTCAACGACGACGAGCTCAACCAGATCCTCGCCCGAGGCGAGGGCGAGATCCAGCGCTTCCAGGAGATTGACGCCGAGCGCGAAAAGGCCGACGTCGAGATGTGGAAGTCGCTCGGGTACAAGGGCAAGTACCCCGAGCGGCTGATCCAGGAGAAGGAGCTCCCGGAAATGTACCAGCAAGACTTTGACGCCGACAACATCCTCGCCGAGGTCGTCGAGGAGGAGCCCGCCAGCCGCAAGCGCACCGTCGTGCACTACGACGACGGCCTCACCGAGGACCAGTTCCTGCGTGCGCTCGAGGACGACGACGTCGACCTGTCGGAGATGGTCGAGAGGAAGCGCGAGCGGGCCGAGAAGCGCCGCACCAAGCAGCTGATGCAGCAGGGCGACTCGATCGAGGGCACGCCCGAGGTCGAGGGAGGGCGCAGGAAAAAGGGCCGTGCCCGCGGCGGGCTGGGCGCCAGCGAGACGCCGGAACCCTCGCCTGGTCCGGGAGGCCGGAAGCGCAAGCGCTTCGGCGCCTCGATCGACGGCAGCCCGGACAACGATCACGACTCGGGATCCGCCTCGGGTCGCTTCGCCGCGCAGCCCAAGCGCCGGCGCACCGGCGGCGATGACGACGTCCGCGACCGGATCAAGACGGCGCTGCTGCAGTGCTACCGCGCCGTCGAGAGCTGCCTGGAGCCCGAGACCGGGCGCAAGAGGTGCCTCCTCTTCCTCGACATCCCCAAAAAGACCGACTACCCGGACTACCATGTGTACGTTTCTATCCTTGCGCCGCGTTGCGAGTGTCCCGGCTTGTCCACGTCGACTGACCCAAATCCCCTCGGTCGTTCCCGCCTGCTCTTTGCCCCCGCCCAACAGCATCATCGAGAAGCCCATCGCCATGCGGCAGATCAAGCGCCGGATCGACAACCGCACCTTCCGCAGGGTCGACACGTGCCGCGACGAGTTCCACCTGATGGTCCGCAACGCGAAGACCTACAACCAGGAGGGCTCGTGGGTCTACAACGACGCCGTCGAGCTGCAGAAGGCGTTTGACAAGACGTACGACATGCTCTGCCGCTTCAGCGGACTGCCCGGGTCGGAGAACGAGGGCGAGGCGCCCACCGGCCTGGGTGCGCTCCAGTTTGGTCGAGACTCGGCCGGGACGAGCGGGCAGGGCAGCCAGGCGGGAGGAGGCGACGACGACGATGAGAGGGAGGAGGGCGAAGAGGGCGACGACTACGGAGACGACGGAGACGGCCACGACGACGACGAGAAGAGGCCGGTGCCGAGCCGAGGCATCAAGATCAAGCTGGGCAAGCGCGGCAGCGGTGCCGGCAAGGCTGCCGCCGGCGGCAAGAAGCGGAGGGGCGTCGCGGGCGACAGCGACGACGAGTAGGCCGCGCCGCGCGTCCGTTCGCCTTGTCGAAGAGGAGAGAAGAGAAGAGAGAGGAAGAGAGCGCGGGTTGCCCTTGTCACCATTGACGGTTTTCCTCCCCCACTGAGCCCTACGCTACTCTAGTGGCGCCAGGCGAGGCGATCCCCACTACTAGCCTGTTTGAAATCTGTACGATAGTCCGAGTCTGGACCGAGTTGTCCGCCCGAAGCTACACATGCTCTTGAATGACCCCGGTACTGCGGCCTGTAGAAGGGCAGGGCCAGGCGTGGCACCAGGATGTCGAGAGGGCGAGGTCGAGGTGGGGCTGTGCGAGGTTCTCGTCGCCTTTTTTTTTGCGCTGTGGCGTGCGCTGCAAGACGGCCAGCTTGGCTACGTCTCGGCAGGCCTCTTTGAAGTCGGGCCGATGGAGCTTGAGGGAGGGGGAGGCGGTGGAAAATAGAAGAAGCGACGATGACGACACGCGTTGCAGAGGTGCCCTGCCCCGCCCTGGTCTGGCCTCGTTTGGGAAGACGGGAAAAAAAGGAAAAGCGGACTAGTTAGGGCACGCACGGACGGACGGACGCAGGGACCCGACCGTCCCTTGGCAAGACCTTGGAGGCTTGCTTGCTGGGTGGGTACCACGCCGATACAAAGATCCACGCACGACCATCTACCCCGTCCTGCTCGCAGACACACGCTCCTGACACACACACACACCCGAGCCCGTGCACAACCCGCTTCAGGGCTCCGGTACCACCCCACATCGGCTGTACGTTCCTCTCCTCATTCTCGCCCAGAACACCTTTCTTTTCTTCTACTTGCTTTGCTTGCAAAAGGGGTTGATACGCGGTGCTCTGCGACATTCTTGCGGTGCGGTTTGCGGAAAGGCGGGCGGGGAGACTGCAACGACGTGCGACAAAAAGGCCCAGGGGGGGGATACAAGGACAGGTCGACAACAGTCAACCAGGAGGACGACGACGACGACCATGACGATTAGGATCGGTTCGGATGACGTCGCTCTGTGCCAGAAGGAGAGGGGGGGGGGGATGAAAAGGGGGCGAGGGGCTGTCGAAGGCGCACAAGACATCTTATACAACAATCGAAGGCAAGAAAGGGCGAGAGGAGTGGAGCAGAGCTTGGCTGGACCGACGGGGATGTTGGGGCGCCCGCCGTGGTACAGACCCTCCTGATGAGCACGAGGGGGAGAATTTAACGAGCGTTTCAGCCAGTCATGTTGGGCAGCGTGGGTTGCGGAAAGGCGCTGCCGTGAGCGTGGTTGCTGCCCGTGGTATTGTTGTTGACGGCGTTGAAGCCATAGGATTGAGCGGCGGGCTGAACGCCATAGCCCTACGGGGGGCAAAGGAAGGCAATGACAGTCGGTCGGGTAGGTGGCCAGGTAAGAAGAGGGCCCATGGGGTCAGCGAGACGTTCGAACATGCAAGGACGCTTGCATCGGCCGCGCCCAGGGACCCACCATGTTGCCGTAGCCTCCGTTCTGCCCATTGACGCTGCCGCCGATGGCAGCGTTGGCGGCGATTACGGCCGTGTTGCTGGCCGACTCGTTGCGCTCCTTGCCCCACGACACCTTGACGGGCCTGCCGTGCACCGAGCATCCGTTGGCGCCGAGCGAGTAGACGGCGTTGGCGGCGTGCTCGTGGCTGTCGAGCTTGACAAAGGCGTACCCGCGATCCGCCTGGATCCGCACCTCGATGACGAAGCCGAACGGAGCCATTAGGGTCATCAGGTCGTTCTGCGTCGTGAACGGGGCCAGGTTGCCGAGGTAGACAGTCGTCACGTTGGGCGGCGTCGCCGCGAGGACCTGCTCGTAGGACAGCGGCTGGCCGAGCTGCTGCTGTTGCTGCAGCGCAATGGCGCCGCCGTTGATGTGCAGCGTACCGTGACCATTGCCGTTGGTGGTGGTGGTGACGTTGCCCAGGACGGCGGGGCTGAAGGCCTGGATGGGCATCGCCACGCCCGGCGCCATGCGGATCATGGGCCCCGCCATGCCCGGCATGCCGAGCATGGCTTGGCGGCCGTTGGGCATCGCCATGCCGATCCCGCCGGCCATGGGCATCGCCATGCCCATCCCCATACCCGCTGTGCCGAATATGACGGGATGGGTGGTGGTGTTGGTGGCCGCAGAAGAGACTCGGATGCCGCCCTGCGACTTGGCGTGCGCCCAGTTGAGGCGGATGGCGCGGCCTGCGAGCCACTCGCCGTTCATGGTGGCGATGCTCTGCTCTGCGTCGGCCTTGGTGGTGAAGCTGACGAAGCCGTAGCCCCTCGACTTGCCGGTGACCATGTCGAACATGACCCGCACGTCGGCCAGGCTGGGGAAGCCCGAAAAGGCCTGGCGCAGCACGGCGTCGGTGACGTCCTGGCTCAGGTCTCCGACAAAGACGTGGTAGTTGCCGGTGCCCTCCTCCCTCTCCGAGTGCTCGGCGCTCTGCAGGCTAGGGTGGTGCGACTGCTTGGCCCACTTGACAGTGATCTCGCTGTCAAAGATGTTGCGCCCGTCGAGCGTCTGCACCGCCGCCTCCGCCGAGCGCATGTCGACGTACTCGACAAAGCCGTAGCTCAACCCGCCCTGGGTGAAGCTGCGGTCCGGGATGATCTTGACGGACTGAACGGGGCCGGCCACACTGAAGATCTCGTGCAGCATGGTGTCGGTGACCCGCGGGCTGAGGTTGCCGACGTAGAGGTAAGGGCGAGGCGTTCCCGGCTGGGCAGCGGCGGCGTGGTGGAGGCTGCCAGACGCCATCTCGGGGGTGATGGACGTCGAAGACGCTGCGGGTACCGACATGGCCGAAGTAGGGGACCGAGGGAAGCTAGGAGGAAGAGGACGGCACCGAGACGCTCTGAGCGAGACGTACGCGGAGGAAAGAAGACGCAGCACAGGTGTCGATCAAAAGCGGAGTCCTTGCGAGCAAGGCCGTTGATAAGACGCTCGGGGCGATGCCAGAAAGCCCGAGGAGGTCGAAAGGAGGTTGCGCCGAAAGGACAAAGAGCTGCAGACGAGCCCCGACGATGGCGACGATGGAAAAGGCGAGCAGACGAGGATGAAGACGCCCAGCGGAGAGACAATGGCGACGTCGACGGCGACGACGATAAAGACGGTCGAAAGAGGCCACAGAATTGGCGAAGAGGACGAATACGAGGAGAGATAGAGAGCAGATGCAGTCCCCAAGAGTAGAGGCGAAAGAGATGCGTTGTGTCGGGAGGTCAGATAGCTGCTTGTGCCAGACGATGAAAGATATAGGAGCCGGAAGCGGGATGGCGAAGAGCAAAGGCAGCGAAAGAAGCCGTAGGAGGTGACGACGGAGACGGCGAGGCGGGGGTCGAGGTGGTGAGGGTGTCTAGCTGGCACTCGGTGACGACTTTATAACGGATGGTAGCAAAGGGTGACCTGCAACCGTCGACTCGCTGGCATCGGGGCTATGGTGGCGTTGCCAGCAGCGCACCTAGCGGAGGCTCGTCGAATGGCGTTGAGACTCGAGCGGTCACGGACCGACTCACCTTAGGGCAATGAGGTGGGCGACCGGTCCTCGACAGGGTGGGCAAGGGGTCCGAGGTGATTATGAGGCGGCGGAAGGGCTCGAGCGTCGCACGGCGTACCACGGACGGCAGGCGATCACAGGGGGCTGAAGGACCGTGCTAAAGGAACAAAGGCTCGGAAGTGGGTCGGTTGGATGGTGAGCCCCCCTCTGTAGGACAGTGATGTGGCGATGTATGGTGGCGATGGGTGGGGTCGAGGGGGCGGCAAGTGTGCAGCCCACTCGACACTGTCCTAGCCGATGAGGTAGGAGGTTGTCGGTCGCGAAGGGGTCGGGCGTCGGTGTTCGTGCTACAGCAAGGCGAGGCCGCCGGCGGGGCGAGGGGCGGTCAAGGAGAACGAGAAGCTGAGGTCGAAGATCGTCGGAGCAAACACCTTCGAACGGCGGGGGCTCTGCGTGGCAGAACTGGCGGCTGTAAACGTCGTATGAGTCGGAGATGAGGGCGAGGACATGAGAGAGAGAGAGAAGGCGGTACGCGCACGGCGGACGGTCGGGCGGTGGTGGTGTTGTTGGCAGCTATGGCGGCCCGAAGAGGTCTGGAAGAACGGGCCACTCTTGCTCGGCGCTCGCTCTGAGGAGCTCTACAGCGGCGGAGAGCTGCTACGCTACTATCGGGCTACAGCAAGTCTAGCTACGCCGTCGTCCAAGAGGAGGCGAGGTCAAGTGAGGACGGGAGGACGAGCGGAGCGTGCGCGGGGACAGGAAGAGAGAGGCGACGAAGGAGATGGTAACCAGAGGAAGAAAAAATCAGGCCGAGTGGGCCAGGACGCGGAGGAGGGGTCGGGAAGCAGCAAGGTACGCAACAATGAGCATGCATGGTCGACAGAGGGCAGGCAAGACGGGCGACGGTACCCTGCCGACCCACTCCCCCAAACGAGATCTTTCCTGCCTGGCGTGTACCGCCAAACGACGCCCCATGGTGTCATCCGGTGCCGCCCTCAGCCCCTCCCCCGCCTGACCCTCGTCGAGCCTCGCTGGTGGGCGGCCTACCGAGGTCCGGCAAGGCGCGAGCAGTCAGGGTGGTTGGGGCCGGTGCGATAGCGCGCGCTCTCCTCCGGTCACCATACCGAGTCGCTGCATCCCGTTACGGGGCAGCGTTGCCCTTTGTCCAAGCCGAGGGGGAAGCCTATCTGGGTATGTGCTCAGGCAGGGAGGGCTTTCGTCGCCAGGCAGGGCGGCCGCGACCGCCCCTCGACGAAAGCGGGTAGCCGTGAAAAGGGGTACCGCTGGCCGTGGCGCCCAAGGACGAGACAATGCCCAGGAGGAGCATGCAGGCGGGCGAGCATGTACCAGAGCACGTCGTCCCGTCGAAAGCGGTGGGCGGTTGACCGACACGGCTCACCACAGCCCGAGCAGGGCGTGCCGGATACAGCGCGACTGCCCACTCCTACTCCTTGGCATTGAGCAAGGCAGACGGGCGTGGCCCACTCACCAGGCGCTAGTGTGGATGGAGGATAGTCGGGCGATGTCGTGCATCTGGCGTTTGGAAGAGAGGTGGGAAGAGAAGACGGAGCAAAAGACGAAGCGGGCGGGGGGGGGGGGGGGGGCGGAGGTGGAGTGGGTCGGAGGAGGAGTGGTGGCGGGCTGGCTAGCAGGCAGGCCATGAGAGGGGGGGAGGAGACAAGCGGGCGGGGCGCGGTATCCAAGCGACGATCCAGAGCGTCGTCATTGTCATCATCGAGGACCGGGTCGCCCTAGGCTGGCTTGCCGCGGAAGAGTGGTCCAGGTGCGTGCCTCTTGGCTCTGCTTGCTGGCTCCCAGGCGGCCCGGCCAAGTCGTGCGCCCAACGACGACGACAGGCTACACTTGTAGCGTCCGGTCAGCGGGCGCAAGCGGGCGGCCCAAGCTCGAGCCAGCTTGGCTGTAGGAAGAACGTAATGCAAGGACGAGTTAGAGAAAGAAAAATCGGAGCCAGGGAGGAAATGGCCCGGGCGCAACCGCTCGTACGTTGGGCCTCGTCTGTCAACACAGGTGTTCCACCAGCCTGCCCGGCGAGCTCTAATTTTTATTTTACACTCGCCCGTGGCCTTCCGCCCCTGCCTGTAGAGGCAGGCAGGCAGGCTGGGAAATGGCGGCAGCGGCTCGACGGTCATGCGAGCGTGGCCTTTGCGCGAGCCGAGCCAGGCTCTAAATCTCCTTAGACTGGGCGGCGGCGGGCCAACGAGGGGGGGAGGGGGATTAAGGCTTTTTTCTCTTCTTCCAATTGCCGGGGCACGCCCCAAAGGTGAGCAGGCTGGCAGCAGCAGCAGCAGCAGTAGCATCAGCAGCATCAGCAGAGCCAGCAGCAGCATCTCAGAGGCTGGGATCTCCGTCGCGCAGGCCGCCGTATGTACGACGTCGATGTGCCGCAGGACAAGTGACGCCATGAGGCCCTGCCCCGAGGTCCGTCATTCGGGCCGCCTTGCCCGGGCCTTGCTTCTTGCCAGGCCATCCCGGTCGTAGCGGTCTCCGGTAGTACCACACTGCGACCATCCCCCTTCGACGCTCGCCCAACGGTACACGACAGCGTCGGCCTTTGACGGCGAGTCCTTCGTCGCATCCAAGGCGGAGCGGGCTCGGCTCGCCCCCAAGACGACGAGCAAGCTCGAGCCCAGCGCAGCGTGTCCGCCGCGGTACTTCTGTCTGGCCTGGCTGTGACGGAGCGGTCCAAGCGTGAGCGGGTCAGCGCATCCGGCGCTTCCCCAAGCTCCAACCGCTCGAGAGCTCCCGCTTGGGCCCATCTCTGAGCACCTGCTGTAATCACGACTACTACAGGTACTGTGCCGGCTGCAGGGGCCGTCATGAGTTGAGTAGTATGTAGGTAGTACGTCGTGCGTACTGTAGCGTTGTCGTTGCCGGAGCGAAAGGGGGTACCGGTTCTTGCCGTCGCACAAGGAGCTGAAAAGCGAAGTCTACGCCCCCTTTGTCCGCCAGCATGGTCGGGTCTGCACCTGGCTCCTGTCCCTGTCCATCTAGTGGACGCCACCCCGTCGAGTCGCAGGCAGGGGCAGGTTGCTCATGGCTCCACCCGATCGACCCTAGGGACCATGCTGCGTGCGAGGATGGGCCCTAGGGTTGTGCTTGGTCTCTCGGGCGACCATCCCCGAGTTCGGCTGATGGAGCGCCGAGGGATGTCCACCTAGCGGTCGCGTCACCTCGTCACTTCTCGTCGACCGGTTGAGTCACAACTCACAGGGCCGACGCCGACGAAGCTAAGGACAACGGGACATGCCGTACGAAGAGCGGCTGGTGTCTCACGCGGTCACTCCTGAGCTGGAGAGCTTCACGAGCTTGCTGCCTGGGCCAGGCCCTCTTTTTGAGCGCGGATTACGGGGTCGGCATGGCACCGCCGTGTGTGCGGCCGTACCGTACCTCGTGTGCGTGCGAGCCAGCCAGCCAGCAAGCCGGTCAGCCAGACGTGCCTGACCTGTCTAGGCCTAGGCGGCTGCCCTCGCGTTCAGGCATGCACCATATCGGCGAACACCTCGCCTATCTCTCTTGTCAGCGGCCTCTTGGAAATTTTTAAGGTAAGTGGGTGCCTCGAGGCAGGTCCGCCTCTTCCGCAAGACCTGGTGGTAGGCCGGAGGCCCATCCGGTGACCTCTGGCAACGCGACTACGGTATTATGGACGTGGCCGCCGCCTGGCCTCTCGCCGGTGGTCTGGATGGGCAAGCAACGTCCTTGCCGGAGAAGCAAAAAGTTAATTCGTGTCGGCCAGGGCAACCAGCGGAAGCGCACAGCGGCATGTTCCGAAGACGGCCAGATACCATAACCCTGCCGTTGGCAAGCAGCCGGTACGTGGTCGCGGCCAAGGAACCCACAACGCTGCAGGTACGCTCGATGCAGAGCATGGACAATACGATGCGCTGCAGGTTGGGAAGGGGGGGGGGGGGGGGGGCCGGTTGGTCAGGCGGCGGGCTTCCTCAGACTGCCTAGCCTGATGTGAAGACCGGGCCGCCGCCGTCGTTGAACGAAGTAGGAGCGCGTGCGCGCGGGAAAAGCAGCGCTCGCTTCCTCCCATGACTTCATCCCTTCCTCTATCTGTATGTCGCCCTTGCCTCCTCTTGTCGGGCAGACGCTGCAGCAGCATGTAAGCCAGAGCGAGTGGGCATGCCAACGGTGCCTGGCGAGACCCTTGAGACGCAGTTCGAGAGGCGAGGCAGGTCGGTAACGGATGGGGCGAAAAGCGAGGGGGACAGAGGTGCGTCGAGCGTCTATGGGCGGATATGATGTCGAGGAGCAGGGCAGGCCAGGTGAAGAAGATGGGCCACGCACACTTCGGGAGTGGTCCCGGTCTGGATGCACACCCACAATGCGGCGCCGCCCATGCACGCTCGGGCCATGCCGTCGACCTCGACCTGGTTGCCCCGCGTTCCGACGGTTGGGGGCGGATCCTGCCCGCTTCTCCACACGACTACGTACATCGGTGTCGAGCGATCCAATCCCCCACCATGGCGAATCCCTCGCCGCCGCCGCTGACGGCTTTGCCCCTCGAGATCATCCACCATGTCGTCCAGAGCTTCGTCGACGACCTTGGCCGCGCCAACAATGTCACCTCGCTCCTGACGACGTCCAAGCAGCTCCATGCCATCGTGCTGCCCAAGCTCTACTCTTCGATCCATCTCCGCTCCCTCTCCCAGGTGGACTCCTTCCTCTTTCCTAGTTCGGCCGCTCGACGGATATGCGCCGACCTGACGACGGGCACGTTCCGAGTCGACATCGCCGGCGTGCCCGGGGGCGGTGACGGCGGCGGCCTCGCCGACGAGCAGCGGCTGGCCACCGATCGGCTCCTCCGCGTGTCGAGGGCGCTGCTCCTCTGCCCCAACGTCGCCCACGTCTCGTTCGAGTTCTTCTCGCTGCGCCACTCCGAGTTCACCACGCCGACCGAGTTCCGCCTGGCTGAACGGCACACGTTCGAGGCGGCCGTCCGCCAGCTCGCCAGGCTCAAGAGCTTCTACTGGGGTCCGCCCAAGGCCGAGGCGACCAACATCCAGGGCCTCAGCATCGCCGTCGTCGATTCCGTCGTGGGGCCCCTCGTGGCCGGTCTGATGTCGGACAAGGCCCACTTTGAGCGCCTCGAGCTGCGCAATGCCATGCTTCCGACCCTCGGCGGCGGCCTCAATGTCCTGCGCGCCGCACTGAGCTTTCTCCAATCCATCAAGACCGACGCCCCGGCCACGTCGGGTCCGGGCGAGGTGCAGACGGAGGCGCAGGCACAACGTATCAAGCTGACCATGAGCAGCGTGACCAACGTCGACCCTTGCCTCGTCGCAGGCTTGGTCATAGGGATAGCCCAACCGGCGCTCGGCAAGCTCCGGCCACAGGAGAGCAACGCCATCGAGGTCCACGTCACCGACGCCTTTGTCGAGTCCGTCTGGGGACCGAGGCTCGATACGGACCAGGTCAAGAAGGCCATCTACGAGCTGTTCGAGTGGGACGAGGCCGTGGGTCCCGGCAATCCCTTGGATCCCGATTCCCTCGAGAGAAAAGCTTGGATACAAAGAGCCCTGTCGAGGCTTCGCATAGAGCAGCGATCCGTGACCTGATTAAAGCCGCTAGATCTGCAGAGCAGGCATGCGCAAGATCATCGAGACGGAGTACGACGACCAGCTCACGCAGATAGTCGACTTCGATCAGCAGCGCACCGGCGAATCGTTGCCATCAAGCAGGACAACAGCGCTAGGCATCGGACCTCTGGCCAGCCGCGCGCTGTTTCCTTGGCGGATCGTACACGTTGCTTCAAGGGCTCGCTGGTCCGTCGGCAATACCACTCCAGCGAGAGCACCCACCAAGGTGAAGGCGTACGAGGCGTCACTCCATCAGGAAGCCAATCAGTCACGAACCTGATCTGATCACAAACTCGGTCGGTGACCGATAGAACAGATCGACGCAACGCTTCCAAGGCAAGAAAGCGCACGCCACAGCCCAGTCGAGCGGAGCAGTCGGGAGTGCAGGATCTCGCCGGGCCCGCTCTCTCGCCAGCGTGTCGATACACCCACCTCCCTCGACTACGACGGTGCCAACGGACGACACTTCAGGTGCTGCGAAGCCGTCGAGTCCGCAAGGCCATCTCGGATGGAGGCGCACACGACCACGGACCGGAGACGGCAAGTCGGTCGAATGGCCCAGTCTGGACGGCTGCACGAAAATGGTGCTACGGCGTCGTTCCGACCGTTCACCGCCTTCACCCGTCGATGGGTAGAATGATGCTGGTATCTCGCCGCTATGATTAAAGGGGCACAATTAGAGGGCCTAATGACAGGATACAATGCTTCGAAGTGGGCATGCTGGCCTGCCCTGTCGCTGTCGCTGCGAGGATGCCGCCTAGCCGTCGACGCTATCCCTACCTCGCCCAGGGTGCGTTCCCTCGGCACCCTCGTCTTCGCCGGTAAGCAGGCTCCCTGGCTCCTCGGTGATCCTCCGCCCGATCGGCGTCGATCCAAGGAAAGCCGGCTGCTCCTCGCGCTCGCCGTCGATCGAGGTCTTCTTGCCGCGCAGGTTTGTTGGCGGTGTTCCGTTGCCCGTCACAGTCGTCTCCCTGGTATGGGTGTCCGCCTCATTGCCAGCGTCCCGATCCGATGCGCCGGCCGCCCCGTTGGCGTCGTCGTGGTCCGGGACCGGGTCTACGACGCCATGTTCGGCCTTCCACTGCTCAAAGTCGGCCTTGCCGCCAAAAGGGTACCAGATCGGCAGCTCCGGGTAGCATCGGCGCACCGAGCTCTCGGCTCCCATGGCCATGAGTGCGATGATGGGGTTGGTGAGGAGCGAGAGGATGGCGCCAAAGAGGAGCTTGATGATCATCGGGATCCAGGTGCCGGCCAGCTCGCGCCCGCCATAGATGGGTGCGACGATGGCGATGGCCAAGGGCCAGTACCACCAGAAGGTGAGGACGCACAAGCCGAAGCCTTGCGCCGCGGTCCACACCAGCCGCTCGAGCCTCTGCCGCCAAGAGATGCCGGTGGCCAGCAGGTCGTTGCGCTCGCTGCCCGTCAGGACGGCTCGGACAAACCACCACCAGTAGCCGTTGGCCTTCGACTTGCCCTCCGATCGGCCCATGGAGCAGGGCACTCCGTCCCGCTTGACGTCCTCTGCCATCCTCACGCCGAGCCAGCTTCCGGCAGGATCGGGCGTCGACGGCAGGTGAAGCAGCGGCGGCCAGGGACGCCGAAGAGGGCCAATGGGCCCTGCGTAGAGGTCGTGGTGAGTCAAGGATGACGTGATGATGAAGGACACGATCTGCTGGATGATGACCGTGACGCCCATGTCGCCGGCCACCGTCTGCCGCGAAAAGGTCCATAGGTCGACGGTGTCGCGGCCCTTGTACAGGGCGACGGCGACGCCAAAGTTGATGGCGCCAGAGATGACGGCGGCGACGAGGCTCTGTCCAAAGGTGAGGTACCACCACTGGCCGTGGCCGAGGGTCAGAGGACCCGGTATGGCCCAGTCCTTGAGCGCGGCCGGCTGGTCGAGGACGACGCCGGACCTCTCGTAGGGCGCAGCAAAGGGAACGGCCCGTCGCGCCTGCCTCCACCACTCTTTGTTGGCAAGGTGCGGGTCGCGCTGGTTGAGATGGAGCTCGGAGTCGCGCTTGCCGATCGACCTGCGAGGCTCTTGGAGGGGATCGATGGGGCCGGCATCGCTCTTACGGACCATGGAGAGGGAACGACGCACCGCTGCGCCTGCGGCATCGATGCTCCGCCTCCCGCGCTGCACTGACTGCGACCTGCGCGGACGGTGTTGAGAAGGCTCGCGGGAAAGGCCGCCGCCGTCCTCGGAGGGCCTTGCGGCAGAGATTGCAGAGGTGTTCTCCCTGCGCGAGGGCCGTTCCGGGCGTTCGGCGTAGGAGAGCGAGACTCGAGGGCTCTTGGCGGGTTTTGTCGGCGCTGGCGCTGATGCCGAGAGCGGATGCGCCTGGTTGGGCAGTGCGGTTGTCAGAGGAGGAGCAAGATTGGGAGAGGCGGCGGCGGCGTCGGTCGGTGGCTGGGTCTGCGACTGCGGCTTAGAGCTCCGCGCCGATGGGACGACGGGTTCGCGGATGTTGAGCTCATCGCTGAGCGGTTCGACGATGGGAGCGTCTTCGGCAGTGGTGGTGTCGTCTTCCTGGGCAGTCATCCTTGACAGCCGGAGGAAAAGGGGAGCCTAGGGCAGAGACGAGCGGCGTACGCGATGAGGAATGGGGTGATGGAGCAGAGGGAAGCCGGACCCGGCTTGACGACAGCCAGCGAAACCCGTAGGCTGCTTGCTGCCAGCTCTCCAACTCGGTGCTTCTGTGCCATCCGAGCCGGGCCTCTTGTGATGGGCTGAAGTGTCAGCCTAGCGGACCCGCGCTCGGCACAAGCAAGCCGGCCAACCAGCCTGCCTGCTCGTTGGCTATTGCGACAAATCTCGCCCTTTCTCTACGCCAGCCCGACAGTGACCAGGGGGCATCTGCTTGTGTATCGGAGGATTCCATCTCGGCTGGTCGGTTGTGAGTCGTCGTGCGCGGGAGCGTGCAGCAGGCGCACGCAGCGAGGATTTGCAACGTGCAGAACCCTGCTTGCCGCTAGGCTTGCCAGCCTGGCTGGCCTGAAAGCACCGTACCTCGACCGTACCGTCCGGCGGCCGGCTTGGGGGCCGGCAAGCTGCAGCCAAATCACGCCTGGCCGTCGGCACCGACATAAAAGCGGGTTGTGGAGGTTGGTTGGGGCCCAGCCAGCCCGCCAGCCCGCCAGCCAAGCCAACTACGCGTACTAGCTGACCTCTGACTCCAGGCTGTGTCATCGGCCCCCACGGCGAGGCCATCCAGGCCCGACTTCCGAGTACCGGCAACCTGCGGAGCTCAGCCAAGGTGAGCGAGCTTCCGACCAGCCACCTGGCCCTGTCTTCGAACCTTTCCTTCGCCACCCACCGACCCCCTTCGTTTTCCCAGTCTTTCCCCCTCCTTCCTACTCACCTCCCTACACATCTCATCGACCTTCAAAAGGACCCTGCCCACAGGCAAATCAGGGGCTTCGTCAGGCGTCGTCGTCGAATCCGAGGCAGACAGCATCGCCCCACCCAACATCGCATTCACCATCCTAGACCTCTCCCCGGCCCCATCACTCCTGCCCCCGTCACTCCCGCTCATGACCGACGCCGTCCCCGCATCCACCCACGCAGACTTGCACACTCCTTCCACCAGCACTGTTCACGGCACTTCCGCTCTTGATGCAACCAACTTAGGCACACCTTCCGCGGGTGACGCCCAAACTTCTTCGAGGAGAGCAAGTGCTCGAGGTGGCGCCGGTCGTGGCGCTCGCGGTCGAGGTCGCGGCCGAGGCGGCTCCATCAGTGCCTCTCGAAGCAACGGCAACGATGCGCAGCTCGGTCCATCGGACGGATCCACTCCGCAAGTCGAAGGCGGTGGCCAAGATGCCGGACCTTCGCGTGCCACTCCCTCGTCTCGCAACGGCGCAGGCGCCGGTCGCGGTGGCAAGCGATCGCAGGGTCGAAGGGGCGGAAAGGCTGGTCAGTCGGGCGGCACTCATACGACGGTCGATGGCGTCGACCCCCAAAACTCCGACCAATCCCATCTGCAGGCGCCTCGGCGCAAGCAGAACGGCGCTCCAAAGCCCTCGGCATCGAGCCGGCGCAAGCAGTTTGGCGGCCAGCTGACTGGAGTCGCAGATGTCGATGGAGAGGAGGCAAGCGATGCCCCTGCTGGCGCTGGCCCCTCTGGCGGTAAGGACAAGGCTGCTGCCAATGGCAGCAAATCCGTCCGCAGGGTCAAGGCCAAAGCCATCCCCACAGCGACGCCCGCCGGCGAACACGTCGAGTATGCCGACCTCCGATCTCGTTTGTTGGCAGAGTTGGCGTCCGGCCAGTACGACTGCGTCGTCTGCTACTCGACCGCCACCACCAAGCAGGCCGTCTGGTCGTGCTCGCAGTGCTACACGGTGCTCCACCTCGGATGCGTCCGCAAATGGGCCGAGGCCAGCGTCAAGAAGGCCGAGGAGCAGAACGCGATGCAAGAGGACCGCGCCATGAGGGACAAGCGCGGCACCTGGAGATGCCCCGGATGCCAGTACGCCCGCGAGGACGTGCCCAAGGTGTACTGGTGCTGGTGCGGCAGGATCCAGGACCCCACGGGCGGTCGCGGCGCCAACCCGCACGGCTGCGGTCAGCGCTGCAACCGCGGAAAGTGCGACCACGGCTGCCCCGACCAGTGCCATCCCGGGCCTTGCCCCCCGTGCGCCGTCACGGTGTCGCAGCGCTGTTTCTGCGGTTCCCGCGACATCCCCATGCGCTGCTCGCAGACGTCGTCTCGCGGCCCGTCTCTGTCGGCCGTCGCCGAAAAGGGCATCACCTGCGGCGACACTTGCGGCAGGAAGCTCGACTGCGGCGTGCACACCTGCGAAAAGACCTGCCACCCCGGGTCGTGTGACCCTTGCAGCGTGCAGCTCGACGCCAGCTGCTACTGCGGCAAGGACACCAAGCAGATGCGCTGCGGAGACGGTGATAAGCGGACCAGCCAGCTTGAGGGCAGGGGCACTTGGGTTGGCCTGTACCGATGCGACTCCCCCTGCGGCCGCCTCTTCGCTTGCGGTGTCCACGCATGCGAAAGGCCCTGTCACCCGCAGGAAACCCAGGGCGCCACTTGCCCCTCGTCTCCCGATATCGTCAAGACCTGCCCCTGCGGAGCAATCCCGGCCGCGGACCGCCAAACCTGCCAAGATCCGATCCCCGTTTGCAACAACATTTGTTCGAGACCCTTCCCGTGCGGCCACGCCTGCCCAGCCACCTGCCACCTGGGATCCTGCCCGCCCTGCAGCGAGCCCGTGGCGGTCCCCTGCCGCTGCGGCGAGACCAAACAGACCCGACCCTGCTTCGAAAGGCAGCGCGAGGAGTCCGAGGGCAAGCAGGAGCTCCTCTGCGACACCGTCTGCAAGGCGATGCGACACTGTGGCAAGCACCGCTGCGGCGGCAGGTGCTGCCCCCTTTTCTTTCAGTCCAAGGGCGGCAGGCGCCCCCCGCAGGCGGTGCTGCAGGCTGGTGACCCCGCTGGCTTCCACGACTGCTCGATCCCGTGCGTCAAGCCGCTGGCGTGCGGCAAGCACGACTGCCCCATGACCTGTCACCGAGGATCCTGTCCGCCGTGCCTGCAGGCCACCTTCGAAGACGTCGCCTGCCACTGCGGTCGCACCATCCTGGAGCCGCCCGTGCCCTGCGGGGCCAAGGTCATCTGCAACTTCCCCTGCGCTCGGCCGCCACCGCCGTGCGGCCACCCCGCGATGCCGCACAACTGCCACGACGACGATGAGGCCTGCCCGCCCTGCGTCTACCTCACGGACAAGGTCTGCCATTGCCAGAAGAACATTGTCAAGCACGTCCCTTGCAGCCGAACCAGGATCTCTTGCGGCCAAGCATGCGAAGCCCTCTTGAACTGCGGATACCACCGGTGCCAGGGCATCTGCCACGTCGCGCCGGACGAGTGCGCGCCCTGCTCGCAGGTGTGCGGCAAGCCTCGCAAGCTCTGCCAGCACCCGTGCAAGGAGAAGTGCCACGCCCCCTCGTCGTGCCCCGAGACGGATCCGTGCGAGGCCATCGTCACGCTTCAGTGCGCCTGCGGCAACCTCCAGTCGCGGGCCAAGTGCGGCGTCTCGATCCACAACCCTACCAAGGAGAAGACGCTCAAGTGCAACGACTCGTGCATCATCGCTGAGCGCAACGCCAAGCTGGCCGAGGCGCTCGGCCTGAATCCCGCCGAAAAGGCAGCACCCGCCGCGTATGAGCACGAGACACTGCAGTTCTACTCTGTGCCCGCCAACCGCAAGTTCTGCGAAGAGGTCGAAGCGACGCTCAACGATTTTATCCGCTCGCCCCGCGCCGGCATGATCCTGCCGCCGGCCAACAAGCTGCAGCGCAAGTTTACCCACGAGCTCGCCGCCGTCTACAAGCTTGCCACCGAGAGCCTCGACTCGGAGCCCCGTCGAAGCGTCAGCGTCCGGAGGAAGCAGGATAGCCGCATCCCGAAGCCGCTCATCTCCGAGGCCTTTGCTGCCGCCAAGGCCACGTTGATGGCCACGCAGATGTCGGGCAGCAAGGGATCTGGCGGTCTGGCTCAGCTACGACGCCCGGGCACCGAGGCTCCCAAGCCCCTCAATGCCGTCTTCCTGCCGGGCGTCTTTGGCCACGATCAGGACTCGCTGCGCAGCCTGCTGCAGCCCGTGCTCAAGAACATTGCCTTCAGCGTCACCTGGAAGGGCGATGAGGACGTCCTGGTCACCTCGACCGACTCGCCGACGCGGCTCATCATGATGAAGACGGAGCTCAAGGCGCTGGTCCGACGCGAGAGGTTCGCGCGCGACGTTGTCCTCTGCGCCGCCGACTCGACGGGCCGCATCCTACGCAAGGAGGACGAGCCGGCGCTGGGCGTCGGTGCTGGGGCCTCGAGGCCCTCGTCCGGCAGCAACACGCCGTCCGCCTGGGGCTCTGCCATGTCGCGAACGGCCACCGCCGGCTCCGGCACTGCG